AAATCGATGTGCGAAATCTGGTCAGTTTTTAGGCAGCAAAATTCGTCCTTGTTTGTTCAATTAGACGGAATGTTTAAGTAGCACTTGAGAACGAATGACCTACGTCACGCCAAGGCATTCTTTACGTTAACATGCTTTACATTTTAAAGATCTGTCCGGTTTGTACACACCATCGCATTGCTACCAGCCTGCACCCGCCTGAAATTATTATTTCAACAATGCCAAGTTATACATGTAAGACAATCAGCCTGGTTTAAAGACCTCTTGACGGGAAACCAATACTGTGTACCCGTCAAAGGAGGTCCAAAACCCCTGTTGAAATAGGTGGGTACTTTAAAAGCAGCGAATTCCAACAACATTACTCAGACGAGACCTCAAAAATCGCCACAAAAAATTTGCAGACATTATTTAACACCCTGACCCCTTTAATGGCTCGCCTTGTAAACGAACGAAAATGAATGATGAAAATCGGTGACAATCGCCGATGCGAGGCGGCACTTTTTACAACGCCACTCGCAGCTGGCCTCACTACGTAATGCGTTTGGTCTTGCGTTAGTGGGCTATGCGTCGGTACGCATAAGTCACCTGCTAAAACCCTAAGTGCTTCTGACTGTTACGAAAGCAGACGATGGACCATGGACAGTCAACAGAGGAACGACAGAATGACGAATGGGGGCAAAGACGGTTTAGCACTTAGCATACAAGGCAACGGTACAATAAAGCATATGCGTCAGCATTTCCGAATTCAGGATTCGGGGTCACTCTCCCTCCCTTGCCCTTAGTTGCCCGTATCAAGCAACAGACAGCAGTTGTGAAGATTCCGAGTTATGGCCAGTGAACTGTCGAAGTTTCAGCAGCACATTACCTTGGCATGCACAAGTTATTGTTGGTGTGACTCATTTCAGAGACGGATCAAGCGATTGCAGCAAGATTTGTACACAGTTTACAGGCAGGTCTTCAGTGATAAGGGCGTTAGTCGAAACTTGAGACTAGTTAGTTACGAAAACGGAATGATTCAGTCGGTCGACCGGAAAAAATTCTCGCTAGAGCATCGAACGCAGAACCGAAAGATCTGAGGTGTGAGTCCCGGAGGGCAAACAAATCTTGGCCCTTCTTCTGTCTGGAGCTGACAAGTAAGTGCCAATGTATAGGAACGAATCAGGAGACTGCACACCATGCTTGACATATAGCTCAAAACACCGCTTCCAATGGTTGACAGTGGGGCAACGGAGATCTGCGCCTGTGAATTACGCTCACAATCGCGAAAGTTTAAGGAACACCTACACCCCAACGGTTACAAGAGCTTAGCGTCCATTTTCATCGATTGATCGACATCAAGTTTGATTTTGCGGCTGAGCCTCTGTCCGAATGTTTTCTACAAATGCCCCCCCCCACGTTCACCTATACTGATACAGCGAAAGGTGTGTCTTCTAGAAAACTTTTCAACAGAATCTGCGCACTAACTTCAAATTAAAGATTATAAACCTTGATTTCAGTTGGGCACTTGCTCTCTGTGTATTTAAGTATTTACTGACAAATAGTATTGTGCAGAACGACTGCTGAATTCGGAAGCGAACCGCAACAGTTCTGCATCTCGACGTGGTGAATCACATAATAATAAGTCAATGAGTCACGTTTGGTTGAGTTTTGCCCCGTTTACAGTGAGTAACATAAATTAGCAATGGGTTCATGCAGGTCAGGAGGCAGTTGTTTGATGCTGTTCAAACAATGAAAATCCGAAGTGTCATTATCCATCGATGATATAGGTTTTCATATTTATGCGTCTAAGCCCAATTCAACCATTTACACTAGTTGGCTAGCGGCCGTTCAGATCATCACTTAGTACTGAATAAGTAGGAGGATGCGGAATTAACTTGTAAGATGTAGAAATCAAGGTTTGGAGCATACTTCGCGGATGGTGCATATAACCTATAACCTAAAACCATGTACTCTGTGAAGCCAAAGACATCGAAATGGTAAGGTGATTGCTTTTTAATCTGCATATCTGTTTCGGTTTCATCCATCCTGAACTAAAGAGGCCAAGTGGCTTAGAAACTAAATCATTTTTCCTTACCTGATGATAATTCTGTCTGCACTGAACCAACACGAACTCTCAGCGTTCTGCCTTCAACATCTTCAGATATAATCCACTCACAGCACGGTATCATTCTGAAAAATTGAAAGTGTTATATGCATTCAATCTACTTGCTCAGTTGGCGTTAATTTCTCAGCCATAGAAAAACTTTTAATCCGCACAGTCGATATCTCAGACGATTCGGTTCAACCAGCATCTCTTCATTTCTTATGAGGACTGAGGAACATAGAAGGGAGGTTCACTATCACAAGGCCCTATGAACTTCACAAGGGGGCAATTCAAGATGCACTTCAACGTGAACCTTTCGTTCGCTTGACCGCAGTTGTTGCTTGTCCGAAAAGCGTTGCACTCAGAATCGAGAGCTTCTGAGTTAACGCCCTCATCGTACGCCTGACCTTTCCTGTTTCCGCCATAGATGAGTTCCACTCTAATTCCATGGGGGGAGGAGGTCGCTTAGTACGACTGACACCAACATTTAGTGAGGGATCGAAAACAACAGCAAAACACTCCTGGCTGTGAACACAGAAAGGCAGATGATCTTAAATCATAAATCTTATGAAAGAAGGAATGAATCGTATGAAGAATCTTATGCAAATCACATTAAATCATAAAAGTATGGGAGATTGACATCCCTACGGTTGCAGACTTCTACTTTTTTCTTTCCTTCTACCGATCGAAGGAATACAGACGTATGATAACAATTACAGAGGTAACGAGACAAATCGATACGTGTAGAACGAGACAAGGGTGGCTGGAACAAATTGAATATACACTAAAACCGAGGCAGAGGAACCTGAACACTGGAAGGTGGAGAAGGAACAAGTATCTTTGGCGATCCAGAAGGAATTTCAGGCAATTGCAATAAAGGAGTGTTGTGACAGTTATATTTGATTGATTGCCATTTATTACAGGAGCTCAAATTATCATAAGCCGTTCTCTGCAGCTGTTTTTTATGTTAATTTCAAAGATGACATTGGAAATGTTAAATGGTTTCATGACAAATAGCGACTAGGAATGACAGTTGGCAACATCATAATTCAAACGTTTTAAAGACGTTCGTATTTATTGCTTTCGACAAATCCGATTAAGATCTGACAAGCTTGGAGGTTTTCATACACTGATGCCGAATTAAGGCATGCGCTATAGAGGCTACAACCCAGGAACCTCCGTCAGTGAAAACATTTTTCATTTGCAAAAGAAAAATCAAAGTATAATACCCCAGATTATCTATTTCGAAAAGAGTCTAATTAATATACGGCATATACGTTTGTAGTAAACGTACTATGGCAAAACGAAGCACGGCATAAAATGATGTGAATAAGGGTTTCGTTGTTGGAACCCTGCATGAAGTTCTCTATAACGCCATTTTTTATGGTTTTTAAATCTGGCAAGACAGTTACTGTGGTATGTTTATGATTATAGTATGATATGCCACGCAAATGAACAGCTGCTGACTGTTGTGGGTAGTTTTTGATAGAAATTTAAGCGTGGATGCAAATAAAGCAGATTAAATTCGGTATGACCGAACAGTACAGCGCCAACT